GAGAGAGAAAGATACTGTAAATGGAAATGCGAGGGAGAAAGAGCAGAGACAGAGCATTCATATATCGTGTGAGACTCACAAAGATGATTTTGATTTATGACCGTTTGATTAATCGGGAGATATATTATTAACCGTTGGATTAAATGAAGTCAGAATGACGTAAGATTTGCTTGACTGTGGAGACTATTTGTTCTACTTATTCTATCCGTTGTTGGATTGGGTTTAGTCGAAATCAAATGATAATAATGGTTAGCCAAATGATTTTCCACATGATTAATTTCGTTCACGTGTTTGTATTTTTTACATTGTTAATATTTGTAACAAAAAAAAATTCAGAGGAACTCATTATTTGATTAAACTTGCAAAGAAACCAATCCAACCATCCTCTACTTAAACGTCTCAGCCAAATCTTTGTGTGTCTAGAGGCCAATTCCTCTAAAAAGCAGAAGTTAAGAACATACAAAGCGACGAAATGGCCAAACGAAAGCTCAAAGATTTGTAGTTCAACCCAAAAAAATATATATATATCCAACAACGATCGATCAAACTCAATCTCTGGATGTTTCCTCTTCAATCCTTACCGCAACATCTTCAAGGAAGAAGAAGAAGATAAGCAAAAATAAATTAACGCAATGATGAAAGGAAAAGCAATACATAATGAATCTGATAAACAAAGGAAAGGCTCTTGAAAAGTTTTCTTTACCTTTTATATCTTTTCTTGGAACCACAGGGACATAGAGCATTGCGGCTGATCTGCCCACTTTTGGCTAAGTTTGTTCTTGCCAGATCCATCGGCGTTGTCCCCATCATTTTTTGCAGCTTCAATATAGACCAAGATAATAATTTAGTGTCAGATTAACAGTTCATGATCAGATGAATGGATGTAGCACAAAGGTAAACTGTAAACCAACAGACAACAATCTGTCCATATGTAAACGAAACTCTGAACAATAATACTGACATAGTGCAAGATGACTCCCATTTCTAATCACTGAACTTCAAATCTAACCAATATTGCAAAATAATCAAGTTGCAAACTAATTCTTTTTATTCAAGGGACTATTCTTGAGCTCAGGATCGGTTTTAGTGTAGAAAATTAAAGTTTTGTTTCAAGGGTGGTTCTTGAAGAATATAGTTCTTCGGTGATAAAAACAACTACAAGCTTGATCAAAAAACGAAGAAGCGAGAATGTCCATGCACAATCTCATAAACTCTAAGCACTACTTAAACTCTGAAAAAATGAGAAACATGACCAAACATTCAAATTTCCCCACATGAAGGAGCTAAAAACATATGAGTTTATAAAGTCAGAAGAATACCTCTCCCATATTCTTTGGTAACGGTTTGCCTCCTTCTTTCAACTCCGTCATCTTCTTGTGAGCTTGCCTAGCCCAAGTAAACTTAGCCAACGTATTCTCCACATCCGTTATCGTGCATTTACAATGCTTAGCCGCATCTTGCTTTTGACTCGCTTGGAGATTCTACACATCAAGAAACCTAGTGCCACAGTCAAGAGATTGACTAACATGCCAACAACAAAAAATATTGTTTCTAGTTATGCATATATGCTAAAGAAAGAAACCAACCTCTCCTGTAGCATCAAGAGCTCCAAGATACCGGATAACAGCTTCTTGTTTCTCGAATGCGTCTGCAAATGTAGCCTCGCTGCTTCGACCCACAATATACTGCTTGAATTTCCCTAACCTTCTAGCATTCTTCAATTCATCAGCAAATCCTAAAATCAATATGTATACAAAGAGAACAACTTTCGATGAGTATATCAATCTATCCAGCATCACAATCCCATTTCTCAGAGAGATAACTCAAGAACACACATTTCCATTTTTAGAGAAGAAATGTATTGACTTACGGAGAAGAGTGAAAGCTTCAACGGGTAGATTTGATTCTTCCAAAGGAGTGTCCTTATTTCCTGTAAAGACACCTTTGATCGTATCCATCCATCCATTAAGCGGCGCTGTGGAGGTGATCGATCGGTGCTGCAACGGAATCGGATGACCGCCGGTACAGCGAGAGCCGCCGG